ACACTATTTTTTTAAAGAATTTATTTGACAGAAAGAGACAGTGAGAGAGGGAACATAAACAGGGGGATTGGGAGAGGGAGAAGCAGGGTGCCTGCTGAGCAGGGAGCCTGACGCGGGGCTTGATCATAGGACCCTGAGATCATGACCTGAGCCGAAGGCAGATGCTTAACAACTGAGCTACCCAGGTACCCCAAAAGTCTCATACACTTATCAAGTGGTATTTATTTGAGGGATGCAAGGATGGTTCAACAAACACAAATCAAAAAATGTGATATGCCACATCAACACAATGAAGGATGAAAAACATATGACATTCTCAATAGATGCAGAAAAAAAAATCTAACAAAATTCAACCTGAAAAAATTCAAATTCTCAACACACTGAGATAAAAAGCATACCTCATTATAAAGGACATATATGACAACTCCACAGCTAACATGATACTAAACAGTGAGAAGCCAAAAGATTTTCCTCTAAAATCAGGAACAAGACAAGGATGCCTAGTCTCTTAATTTCTATTCAACATATTACAAGAGCACAGAGTACAGACCAATTGAGGGAAGAAAGAAAGAAAAAAAGAAGGAAGAGGAAGGGGAAGGGAAGAGAACAAAGAAAAAGCATCCAAATCAGAAAGGAAAAAAGTAAAAATATCTCTGTTTGTAGAGGACATATTATACCTAGAAAACCCTAAAGACTCCTCCAAAAAAATTATTAGAACTAGTAATTTATTCAATAAGATTGCAGGTTACAAAAATCAATATACAAAAATCACTTGCACATCTATAAAATAAAGAGCCATGAGAAAGAAATTAAGAGAACAATCACATTTGCAACTGCATCAAAAAAGATAAAGTATTTAAGAGTAAATTTAATCCAGGAGGTGAAAGATCCGTATATTAAAAACTTTAAGACACTGATGAAAGAAACTGAAGACACAAACAAATGGGAAGATATCCCCTGTTCATGGATTGGAAGGATTAATATTGTTAAAATGTCCATACTACCCAAAGGAATCTACGGATTTAATGCAATCCCCATCAAAACGCCAATGGCATTTTTCTCCGAAAATTTTATGGAACCACAAAAGACCCCAAATAGCAACAGCAGTCTTGAGAAAGAAAGAAAACAAAGCTGAAACCATCCCATTTCCTGATTTCAAACTATGCTACAAAGCTATAGTTATCAAAACAGCATGGTATTAATATACAAATAAGACACACACATCAGTGGAATGAATAGAGAGTCGAGAAATAAGCCCAATCATACATGGCCAATTAACTTACAACAAAGGAGCCAAGAGTATATGATAGGGAAAGGACATTCCCTTCAATAAATGGTATTAGGAAAATTAAACAGCCACACACAAAGAAATGAAACTAGACCACTATCTTACACAATATACAAAAATCACTTAAAAATAGATTAAAGACTTGAATGTAAGACCTAAAACCATAAAACTCCTGGAAGAAAATACAGGTAGTAAGCTATCTGATATCCATCCTGGCAATGATTTTTTTGGATTTGACACCCAAAGTAAAAGCAATAAAAGCAAAATAAACAAGTGGGGCTACATCAAACTAAAAAGCTTCTGTACAACAAAGGAAATCACCAATAAAATGAAAATGCAGGCTACAGAATAGGAAAAAAATATTTACAAATCATATATCTACTAAGCAAAATACATAAAGAGTTTGTACAACTCAAGAGCAAAAAAAAAAAACAAAAAAACGAGCAGAGGATCCGAATATACATTTTTCTGAAGAAGACTTAACAGACGGTTAACAGGTACACGAAAAGATGCTCAGTATCATGAGTCATCAGGAAAATGCAAATCACAACCACAATGAAATATCACATCTGTTAGAAGGCCATTATCAAAACGACAAGAAATAACTAGTGTTGGCGAGGTTGTGGAGGAAAGGGAACCCTTGTGTCCTAGTGTTGGGAATGAGAATTGGTACAGCCACTATGGAAAACAATATGCTTCCATATCTTGAGGACCCTCTCCTCAAAAAATTAAAAATAAAACTACTATAAAATCCAGCAATTCCGCTTCTGAGTATTTATCAGAAAGAAGAGAAAACACTAACTCAAAGAGATAGGAACATCTTCATATTCATTGGAGCATTATTTATAACAACGAAAACATGGGAACAATCTAAGCATCAATGGATGTATATGTGGTACATTTACAAAAGAATGTTATTCAGTGACAAGAAAGGAGGAGGTCCTACCATTTGCAACAATGTGAATGAACTTTGAAGATGTTATGCTAAATGAGATCTCCATCTGGCTAGATGGAGGAAAACAAATACTGTACAATTATCACTTACATGTGGAATCTTAAAAAGCCACATTCATAAAAACAGAGTGGAATGGTGGTTACCAGGGACTGTGGGGTGGAGAATTGGGACAAGATGTTTGTCAAAGAATACAAACTTCCAATTGGAAGATGAAAAAGTTCTGGAGCTCTAATGCACAGCATTGTGCTTGTTGCTAACGATACTGTATTACTATACTTCAATGTTACAAAGAGATGAGATCTTAAATTTTTCTATCACAGAAAGTGGAATGATAATCACATGACATGAGAGAGGTGTTAGCTAATGCCACAATGATAATCATACTGCAACATAAAATGCTTGCAATCAACAGACTGCATGCCTTAAACTTACACAATGTTACATGTCAATTACATTTCAATTTTTTTAAAAAAAGGAAAAGGAAAAGGAAAGGCACAGAATGGGAGATAATCTCCTCAATGCATATATCTGACTGGAGACCCATAACCAGAATATATTAAGCACTCCTGAGTATCAATAATAAAAAGGCCAAAAAAATGAGTAGGACTTGAACAAACACTTCACAATAAAAGATATGCCAACAGCCAGGAAGCATGTAAAAATGTGCTCAACATTATTAGTTACCAGAGGAATGCAAATTCAAAATCACAATGTTTGTATGCACACCTGAATGGCTTCAATGAAAAGGACTGTCAAAACCCATTGTTGGCAGGAATGTGAAACAAATGGAATTCTCATACCTTTTTGACGGGAATGTAAAATGGCTCAACCACCTTGGAAAACTATTTGGTAGTTTTTAATCAAAGCTAATCAGGCCCATTTTATGTCTCAGCAATATATACAAAAATGTTCACAGAAAACCTATTTGTAACAGTGAAAAACTAGGAATAATTCAAATATCTATCAACAACAGAGTAGCTACAGGAACTGATTATTCAAACAACGGAATATTACTGAGCAACAAGAAAGAAAACAGACTACTGATACGTGCAAGAGCATGGATGAACCTCAGTCCACTAAACTGAATGAACAAATTCAGATACAAAAATGAACAGGAAAAGTTATTAAATGGTGTTAGAAATCAGAATAGTGGTTGCCTCTGGGTGGGGAGGGGCACTGACTGGGAAGCGACACAAGCAAACTTACTAGGGTGATGGGAATGTATAATATATGTTGATCTGGAAATCAAAAAAGGGTAAAATACATATATATTTTTTAAAAGTGGAAAATATTTGTAAAGCAGATAATAGCAGTTTCAATGCTTTTACATACAAAGAAGGAATATAACTGACAAAAAGTCAAGAACACAATTTAAAAAATGGACGAGATTATGAGGAAGGAATTTACAAAAATGCAAACGTGGTGGCCAAATAGACTCAGAGTGAGGCTCGAATTCACGAGTAGTCAGGGAAATGCCAATTAAATTAATAGTGGACAAAGATACATTCATTAGATTGGTAAAAATTAAAGCTATAAAAATTATCACAGGTAGGGAAATGGTGACAATGATGTTCCGTGTATCGGTGGCAGAAATCTGAAATGTTACTACCATTTTGGAAAGCAAGGAGGTGTTTACTTATATGAAAGATATCCAAGTAGCTATCTCCATAGCAATTAAACACCTACATATAAAAGCATATGAACAAGAATGTTTATTGCAGCATCATTCAGAGCATTAATGAACAAACACAACAGAAGAGGAGGAAAGGGAAATAATTTCCTGTCACTAAAGAATAAATGAATTATGGCAACTATACCATGAGATATTATGCGGCCATTAAAAACAATGTGACTCTAAAATAAACAATATTTCAACGTATACTCAAAACGTAGATACAGTTGCAGGACAGAATATTAACCATATCGACCTTCACAAACTTTTACAGACATTCACTGGCAAAACACTTGCGTGTCTAGCCTCTGGGCTCCTAACAAGGTGTGTATCCTATTCACGCTCCCTCTTGGCAAGCTGAAAGCATTTGAAAACGGCCTCTAGCCGTGATAAAAAGAACAGAGGATGGTACTATTCGCCTATGCTTCTTTCTGTGTCTTTTTCTACATGTTCCTCTTTTGCCTGTACCTATAGGGTTTTTCCCCTTTTCCTTTCCTTTTCAGTTCTGCTTCTATTTTTTTTTCCTATTTCTTAATCTTTCTTTCTCCTTCAACAGACCACTTTTTTTTAAATTTTTTAATTTTTTTATTAACATATAATGTATTATTAGCCCCAGGAGTACAGGTCTGTGAATCGCCAGGTTTACACACTTCACAGCACTCACCATAGCACATACCCTCCCCGATGTCCATAACCCCACCACCCTCTCCCTACCCCCCTCCCCTGGCAACCCTCAGTTTGTTTTGTGAGATTAAGAGTCTCTTATGGCTTGAACAGACCACTTTTTGAAATTATTCCTTTGTATTGTATATATTCATGAAATGGGGCATTTCCGGCATATGATATAGAAAGTGGATTGCGTTGCCTGACTTTCTCTAAGAAAATAATGTGCTGTCCTGAGCTGTGCTGTGCTCTCCTGTGCTGCAACAGCTGTATGCTCTCGTGATCCTTTACAAAAGTCAGATATACCTGAGACATGCAGGAGAAAGCTTTTCTTAACCGGGAATTTTTACCTCATTGGCTTCAGAAAAACCATTAATGTGCTAATATCATGATTCTTCTTTTTCCTTCTTCTTCCGTTACAGGGAATTTTGATTATGTTGATGGCCTTCAGCATTACTGAATTATTCATCTCTCTGTCTTTCTCAGTTATGAGGAGACCCTTTTATTGTTGTGACTAATGGTGCTGAATATCACCGTGGGAATAAAGATGTGCTATATCATCAAGAGGTGAACTATGTCTGTGAGAAAAAGTCAGAAGGAACATAGAATCTTAAGGCTGGCAACTGTGGGAAGCCACGGGGAGTGACTTAAGAGAGGGGGAGTCTGGGAACATTTTGGCTGATAAAATACATCCTGCCTCTTTGCAATGCCATCTCTTCCTCTCCCCAAGTCACATCGTCATCTTGGTGTCACCTCCTCTCTTAGTCATTCATGCTCTGAACTGAAGGGCAGCAATGCAGTGTTGCCACTATACAGAGTAATGAACCAAAGAGCACGGTGTGGAGTGACCAGGTCTATGACATCTCCTGCTGATTTCTTCAAGACACTACCTAGTGGCTCCTATACCACGGTTGTGTGCAAAAATCGGTTGGCTGGAAGAATGGCTTGGCCTACGGATTTTGCACTGTTACTGCAAAATCATCAACGTGAGTTACTCATAACAACTAAAATAGTAACAAGGAGGGCCTATGTTTGTTAAAGCCACTATAACGTTCCAGGTACCATGTTAAGTGTTTTTTGTGTGTTACTCACCGAACCTCACAAAAAGTCTAAGATTTTATTATTATATTATATTTATTATTATATTATAAAATTTTATTATTATACACAGTTCATGGACAAGGAAGCTGAAGCCTAGAGAAGGTAAGCAAAGTGCCCCAGGTGACAAAGCCTACAATGGCAGAGCCATGATATCAACAGGCAAGTCTGGCTCTAGAGTCCAGGGTCTTAATCCCTACAACAACATACCAATGTCTCTTAGACTCTTGGTCTCAGAACCCCTTTACACACAAAAAAATTATTGAAGTTTCATTACGCATTAATACAAGTAAACTTTTATTATCATAACTGTTATTTTCCAAAATAAAAAAAAAATGAGTGTGAAGAGTGGCACTGATACGTGGTTTTACAAATCTCTTTTTGTAGCTTACTTAACATTCTTTTTATTTTTAGTTGTTTTTAGTTATAGTTTCTTTACAAACAAATGCACACACTTAATGTATATGTACTCCCCTGATGGCCAACACCATAACTGAGCATATCCATCAGTTCCAAAATTGTCTTGTGCTCTTTTGTGGGATTTTGCTTCTTTGTTTTTTGATGAGAACACTTAAATGAGATCTATCTTCTTAACATATTTTAAAGTGTACAATTCTGTAGTAGTAACTAAGTACTCTGTTGTACAGTAGATCTCTAGAACTTAGTCATCTTGCATAACAAAAACTTTATACCCATTGAAAAACAAAGGCCAATTTAACTTTACTGCACATTCAAATCACTGGAGGAAATTTAATAACCCACCCCCCACCACCCCCAAAAGTACCAGATACCACCCTACAGAAATTAAATCAGAATGTGGTGAGAGTTACAGAAAGGAGGGAATGGAGGGATGGGGTAACTGGGTGATGGGTATTAAGGAGGACACGTACTGGGATGAGCACTGGGTGTTACATGCAAAAAAAAATCGTTAAACACTACAACAAAAACTTATGATATACTATATGCTGGTTAATTGAACATAATAAAAACATAAAAATAAATTTTAAAAAAGAACGTGGTGAGAGCCTAGCATCAATAGTTTTTAAAGATCTCTAGGTGATTCCAATGCAGAGCTTCTCTCTAGTGTAACAGAAGCAACAAGATTCTAGTAACTGCTTTTGCATTCAGTCTGATGTGATAGCTCATATTCTTTAGCCTGTGGAGATGACTGCTGTAAACTTGTGGAAAGGGGAACTAAAGTCTTGGTATTATTATAAGAGCTGTTTTGAGGTCACAGACACCCTAAGAGAGCCTCACGGACTCCGGGAGATTCCCAGGCGGCACAGGGAGATGGCTGCCTTACCTGACGTTTCCTTCTGCTGACTGAACCACCTGCTAAGTATTAGGGATCTTCCTTCTGTCATCCCAGCTGTCATGACTGCCCTCTGAGGTAGGTACATCCAGCCTGTGTCACAGACATGAAAACTGAAGCTCAAAGTGGTTGATTTTTCTGAGACCACAAAAGGAAGTAGGGATTTAGAACCAGGATTTGAGTCAACATGCTTAACTCCAAATCTCATTATCCTGTGCTTCTTTTGACACAGAAAACACTTAGCATATGCAAAGAGATAAACTATCAGGTTTTCATTTCTGCCATAAGCTGGAAGGATAAAGGCCTATGGGTACACATGTGAGGGTAGGAGGCAGGGGAGTGAGATTCTAATGAGAAATATTTATTTAAAAAATTTTTTTCCAGTGGAATTATGTTCTGATGAAAAATATCTGGCACCTGAGTGAGGCTGAGATGTGTGGGGAAATTTAAGGGTGAGAATCCCCATCACCTAACAGTAAGGGCTTTTAAGTTAGACCTAGGTCTAAACGTTAGTTTTGCAATTTAAAGCTTAGTGGCTTTGCAAGTTATTTAACTTTTGTGAGCTTTAAATTCCTAGACTAAAATGCAATAATACCTACCTAATGGGTTTGCCATGAGCCTTAAATGAAACATGAACTAACTTAATCAGTGCCTGGAACTTAAAAATCACACAGTGAATGGTAGGTTTTCTTATAAATGTAGAACTGAGGTTTTCTTGCTTTCTAAACATCACTTTTTATCACTTCTGTGGCCAGTTTCCCTCATTTCCTGATCATTAGTGCCCACGATTATAAAATGGAATCGACACTATAGGTATTAAATGGACAGTGCTTGGCACAGAAGTAGGTGTTCGGCTCATTTTATTTGCCTGTTAAAAATTTCAAGGAGTTCCTCGGAATGTGGAAGGCCTCGTCAACTACACAGCTCTCCTGATACTGGAGAGCCTGGCGAGAATCATCTGGGTGGAGAAAGAACTGAAGCAGAATCAGTCTCTCTCACAGCAACCAGAAAAACCAGCCCCACGTTCAAGGGACATCTAGACCAATGGCTGAGTAACGCAAGGACGCAAGTAATTATGACGTAGAATGCAGTTTCCATAGGAGAAGCAAAATGTTCTAAACACCAAAAAACAAAACAAAACAAAACAACAACAAAAAGAGTGTTAGGAGGTAAGGGGAATAAAAGGAAGGTAAATACAAACTAAAAGTTCAGTTAATAAACTTTTGTGTACACTCAAAGAGATCATCATCTGCAAACAAGAGGGCCACGGGTTAATGACAAGAGGGGAGAGGAATTTTAAATATGTAAATGTTTTACCTAATATCCTCAAATGTTACAGAAAAAAAAATATGGAACACAGGGAGTGCTACTGACAAATCCAGACTGCAATGCGGGTTTCAACACAATCAGTCAATGCAAACCAGCAAAGACAGAGTGAATGTTTGTTTGTTTTTATAGATTCAAATTCAAGTTTATTCAGGAGGAATCACCCAAGAGCTATCTAACTGATCTCACTGGCACAAAAAACAGAGTAGCAAATACTCTGAGGCAGACTTGGAAAAACAGGGCCTACACAGAGAAAAGGATATGAAAACTCAGGTTGTGTGAGCCCAGTCCAAGCCTCACTGATGCCAGGCATGTGCCAAATTTCCATGCCAACTACATTCCCGTGACCACCCATCATCCTGGACTCCAATTTCAGGCCTCACAATCACCCACAGCTCAGATCTCCTGCAATTATCACCCCTGGCACCAACATTCAAGGACTCTAGCAGATGAACTGAAGCTTAAGCAGATGTCAGATCTCGTGTTTCCACTCTTCTTTAAGATTGACGAGAGGTGACCTCATGCCTTTTAATCATGGATCCTTGAGGAGAGCAAGTCATTGGCTCTAACCCTCTAATCCAAACCATTGCAGAGAGGAACAGAATAAGGAGGTGGGGGAGAGAAAAGGTGGGAAGAGAGAGGGATAGAAGGAGGGAGGGAGATGGGAGAGCTGCCATATTTCAGCTTTTTGGATTAGGCAATTACCTAATTATAGCCTTGGGTCTCTAATGAAATAAAGGACAAGGAAATTAAAAGCAATGAAAAATCCAACATATGAACACAGCAGTTGTATATGGTGGGGGCAGGGGAAACAATATCTCTGGGCAAAACTTTCTTTGATTCCTTTCCCAAATATTTACGCTTTCCTGGCTACTGGCTTCTTCTACTCACTTGATCTAGCAGTGGCATAGCTCCAGGCCAGACTGAAAAGAGAGGGGACACAAGGAAACTAGACAGATGGAAGAAAAGGGCAGGTGTTGTAGGTAAAAGGGCTACTTCAGTTTGCATCCCAAAACATGGAATTCTTGCCTCAAGCTTCTGAGGATATATTCTACAGCACCAAGGTATACTTTTAGGTCATTTCTAGTAAATCCCACACAAGACATACATGGCCCCACTAGAACCTTAAGTGTGGGTAAACATGGACAATATTACCTACAATGCTCCCAAACGACTGGGCTTAATGATTCCTGAATCTCTCTGCTTCTTCCCACCTACTCACTCCTAAAAGTGAAGTAAAAAGGTAAAGTCCTAACAGCCCATCTTTAGAGAATTTCTAGAGCCCTTCTTGCCCTTGGGGACCCACCATCCACACCTGCTTACAGGGTGGAGACTGCAAAGTTCTTCTAATTAAGGTAGCGTAAAGTACGCCAGGCAGTCCCTGGGGGTCCTTTTCAAGAAGTGAAACCTCCTGGTAAGGCAGAAACTTTTTTGTATATCCTTTGGCTCTGGTCAGTGTGCCTTAAACCAAAGTGATTGGGGCAAAGGCCAAGGTAGCAGAAGCCACTGATTTCCTGTCACCTGGTATCTATGAGAGGCCCCAGACCTGCCTTATGTCACTCACCCCTGTGTACGTGAGACACCAGCAGTGGAAGTGAACTCAGCAGCAAGCATCTGAATCAGCCACACGCCCCAAGGCCTTGGACACTCAGGTAAGGAACCAGTTTTCTTTGTTTAAGCGACTGAAAGGGAGGGAGTGATGGGTAAAGCGTTGGATGGTTTTGGAGACTAGAGATGCTCGGCTTTCACTCATGGGTTTCCCTGGTCAGGTTTTTCTGGTAT